GATGATGATGATTTGTGGTGGTGGTGGTGATGATGATGATGACGATGATGATGATGATGATGCTGCTGATGATGATGATGATGCTGATGATGATGATGATGATGATGATGATGGTGATGATGATGATGATGCTGATGATGATGATGAAGAAGAAGAAGAATACGAATAATAATAAGAAGAGTAAGAATAATAATAATACGAATAAGAAGAATAATACGAATAAGAAGAATAATACGAATAATAAGAATAACACTAATAATAATAAGAAGAATAATAAGACGAATAAGAAGAAGACGACTAAGAATAATAAGAATATTAAGAAGAATAACAAGAAGAAGGATTTTAATAATAATAATAATAAGAATAAGAATAAGAAGAAGAAGAAGAAGAAGAAGAATAAGAAGAAGAGGAGGAGGAGGAGGAGGATAAGGAAGGAAGAGGGCCAAGGAAGGGGAGGAGGAGGAGGAGGAGGTAGGAGGAGAGGAGGAGGAGGAGGAGGAGGAGGAGGAGGAGGGGGTGTGCAGGTAATCCCGAGGAGAAACAGAAGGAAAGACGGAAGCGACGCATAGCGGCGCGAGGGAAGAACGCAGTCCCAGGGGGATGGCGTGATGAGAAGGAAGAAAAAGATCCTGAGAAGAAGCCGTAGATTTGGCCAGAGAGTTCAGAAGAGCGAAATCCGAGCCGATTTGTTGCGTAGGGCAGGGCTCCTCCGTGTATTTGTCCCTTGCACCATTTTGAGGCCCTGGTCAGAGACTCTGGGGGAAGGTCCAACGAGAGCCCCGTCCTCCTCCTCCTCCTCCTCCTCCTCCTCCTCTCCTCCTCCTCCCTCCTCCTCCTCCCCCCCTCCTCCTCCTCCTCCCCCTCCTCTCTCCTCCTCTCCTCCTCCTCCTCCTCCTCCCCTCCCTCCTCCTCCTCCTCCTCCTCCTCCTCCTCCTCCTCCTCCCCCCTGCTCAGGGGGCGCGGCCCGCGCAGGCCCCCCCAACATGTTTCCACGAGCCCTCTGACACGTCCCATGGCCCGTTCAGACGGCTCCACGCCCCCCCACAGCCCAGGGACCCCCGAGTCGAGGCCCCGAAAGCCCATCTTGGAGTTGCCTGGGGCCCCATGCGGGGCCCTCCGTGTCCTATTATCGGCGTCTCCTCTGCCCTCTTGGAGCCACCTTTGACTGACAAGTGACGTCTTCGGAGTCGGCCAGAAACCAAGCGCGCGCGCAGCGCGTGCGTGGTTCTAGTGCGTATTGTCGGCGCGGGCCCAACGCAGTGATTTCTTATAACTTACCCGGTGCAATCCAGGTGGTGCCATCCAGGCGGTGCAATCTATGTCGCGCAAGGCAAAGCAAGATAACACAATGCAAACCAATACAAAGCAACGCAACGCAACGCAAATCGATGCAAAGTAAAGCAAAGCAAAGCAAAGCAATGCAATGCAATGCAATGCAAAGCGTTGCATTTCGATGCAAACCACTGCAACGCAATGCTAATCAACGCAAAACCATGCACATCGATGCAACGTAATGCAAAGCGGTGCAAAGCAACGCAAATCAAAGCAACACAATGCACGTCAATGCCAAACGATGTAAGTCACTGCAAATTGATGCAACGCAATGTGAAGCCATGCGAAAGAAAGCAATGCACTGCAATGCAGTGCAACGCAATGCAGAACAAGGCAACGCAATGCCATGCGATGCAGCGCAATGCCATGCAGTGGAGCGTGCTGTAAAGCCGTGCAGGGCAGTGCGGAGCAGTGCAGCGCCGTGCGAAGCAACGCGAAGCAACGCGGCGCAGGTGGCGGCGACAGGCGGCGGCGGCGTTGGCGACGGCGGCGACGCGACGGACGGCGGCCCGCGACGGGCGACGACGGGCGACGACGAGCCGGCCGGGGCGGCACCCGGGCCCTGTTGTGGCTGCGACGGTCGGGCGGCGACGGGCGGCCGCAGGCCGGCCAGGGGCGGCACCCTGGCCCGGTTGAAGTTGAGAGTATGTATGTGTGTATGTATGTATGTATGTATGCATGCATGTATGTATGTATGTATGTATGTATGTATGTATGTGTGTATGTGTGTATGTATGTATGTCTGTATGTCTGTCTGTCTGTCTGTCTGTCTGTCTGTCTGTCTGTATGTATGTATGTATGTATGTATGTGTGTATGTGTGTATGTATGTATGTATGTCTGTCTGTCTGTCTGTCTGTCTGTCTGTCTGTCTGTCTGTCTGTCTGTCTGTATGTATGTATGTATGTATGTGTGTATGTGTGTATGTATGTATGTATGTCTGTCTGTCTGTCTGTCTGTCTGTCTGTCTGTCTGTCTGTCTGTCTGTATGTATGTATGTATGTATGTATGTATTTATGTATATATATATATATATAGGTGTATATGTATATGTATGTTTCCCTAGCGATGTGTGCAGTGGGGGGCCCATGCCAAGAAACGCCCTGCTTGCCTCCAGGGTGTCCTGTTTTTTTTTTGTTTGGTCTCGACGGTTTTGCGTTAGAAGGCGTGACGTCCCCACACCAAAGATCCATTGACGTCCTGGGGTTCCAGGGTTGGATTTCTTGTGGAAGGTTTCTTGTGGACTGGCCTCCACTGTATTTCGTCTGTCTGCCAGTCCCACACATGTTTGTGTGATGCATATGCACACCCGTGCCTTGATGCCGACATGTATGCCTGCAAATGGCTATCCAAATGTAGATACACATGTATCTGGACCTCAACCGTGGCTTGCATCAGTCTTCGTTGTGCGTCACTGCTAGAGTGAACCTTTGCGCTGTCACTCTCCCTCTCTCGCTCTCTCTTGTACTCTCCCTCTCCCTCTTTCCCACTCTCGCTCTCTCCTCTCGCTTCCTTTCTTTCTTTCTTGTTGATGTTGAAGAGGTTGGCAGCAACCTCGGGGAGGAAGGAGCGGCCGGTGGCCACATCACTGCCACCGTGGAGTACTGCAACTGGCACGCTGACGCACTCGCTACGGAGGCGTTTGCCGTCAGTAACATGCCCCTCAAAGTCGTGGACGCGGCAAAGGCTCGGCAGAAATTCGTCGTCGCCCTGCACATCGTTGTCGTTGCCATTGACGACAAGCGGCGCATCACCCTGTTCCTCCCTCGACAGAGGGCGGGATTGACCAAGCACGAGCTCAAACGCAAATGCCCACACCCCGACCTCGGAGGTGCCCCGCCCCTGGCTGGTGCGCCACCACCATTGCCAACCCGACGATCCCGACGACCTCTGGGCTGACCAACGGCCCGACATGGACGATGAAGATCCGTTCAAATCCTGAGGCTGCCTGGACCAGGACGACCAGGACGACGACGACGTTCGCGACACTCGTGCCGCGGCTCCCTGCGCACATGCCGGCCGCGCGGGATTCTAGCCGGCGCTGGCCCTGGCTTTCACCCCCGTCCCGAGAACAGTCCCGCTAGCGCCCTCGTCGACGCCTGGGGTGGTGACCCCCTCGGGCAGGGTGGAACCATAAACAGCGATGACGAACCCGCGATAGGGACGGCGCTGCCGCACCCAGGCGGCGACAGCGCCCACGCCACTAACCCGCCTCCCCCGATCATCCCAAAAACGCGGAGGGGTCGGCCGGCCACCCACTGCGCCGGCATTCCGCCTGGCCAGCTTGCCGACGAGGCCGGTCCCGCTGCGGCGGGGAGGCCAATGGTCGCTCCCCAGCGCGTGCCTCCCTGCTACGTTCGGCGACCAACCACGTCCTCCTGCCGGCCAACCCAGGGACGCCCGCGGTCCCCAGAGACCGACGGAGTGCCCTGTCCAGGCATCTCACCGCTGCCGCTGCGACGGCCCAGAGTCGTGCGCCGCAGCGCACGCGGTGAGCTGCCCGCGAGCAC